GAGATGGGAGGTGGGAGGTTGGGTAATTATTTTCTCGGTTTTGGTTTTGCTTTTTAATTTCTCTTGACGACTTTTGTCCCCTTCTGTGGTGTTTGTATTGGTCGGTGGCTTAGGTGTTACTATTTGCTTTAACGACTGTCGCCCAGCCTGTATATTACACTTTGTTTGTGTCTTCATGTCTCAGAGTGCCCTTCGGCCCCACTTCCCTCCCCAAGGTTCCTCCTCCCACTTCCACACCCCCGAAACACTGGAATTTGTTTGTATGTTGTCGTCTTTGGGTTTTTTTTAACCTTGGGAGGGGGCAAGTGGGCTGTCCGTAGAAGGACAGAGGCCAGGAAAGCTTATGGCAGTGGAAACATAGGTGCCATTATCAGGTGAACCGATTTTTTTTTTTCCTAATCGCTTTCTTTTCAGTGGGGTCTGGGTAGCGTTCCCATTGCCCACTGCACGCCTGGGGAGATCCGCTCCCAGTTTTTAATGACTCAATAAAAGGAAAATGAGGAGAAAGGGGGGAAAAAAAGCCCTATAACAAACCCCAGGTGCATGGGCTGATAGCAGGGCAGGGAAATAGAGCTGCCATTTTCCTCCTACAATTTATTATTGCCTGGCTTTTCATTTTCTGTCTTTGTTTGAGTGTTCTTTTAAAAGAAAGAAAAGGAGTATTTATTGCTGACATTTTTTCCCCTGTGATGGCTCAGAGAAATGCTGGCTCTTTTTGTTCTTGTTGCTGCTGTTGTTGCTAGTACCAGGCACAGAGCAGTTAACTCTGGCACAAGGGTTGTGCACGCTGTGCATGGTGTGTCGCACACACGCCCCGCTGCCATTGCCTGGGGAAGGGGACCAACCCATAGCACTTCGCTTCTCCCACAAACTCACTGCCTTCAGCTCTGGTCTGCAGACCCTGGCAGGGCAGATCTCCCAGGGTACCATCCAGTGTCTTTGAGGGCTTCAGTACAGGATCAAGCCCCTAAGTTTTATTATACCACTAAGACTTAATCGTCATGTGTTTACACTTTTTTTTTGCGGGGGGGGGGAGGGGGAGGGCAGAGCGTGGGGGTGATTGTCTCTAACTCTCCTAGCAACAACCCCAGCCCTTAGATATACTGCTCAGTCTGCATTGATTGCCACTTTTTCAATATCACATCCCTCTTCTGAGCAAAGGCTTGGTAGACAGGGCAGGAGGGAGCGAGCCTGGGGTATTGATCTCGTCCTCCTTCCCTTGAGCCACTGCATTGTGATGGGGAGGCTTGGATTGCTGCTATCTCTGCTCTGTGGATAAATGGGATTCCAGACTTCAGGGCCCTCTGTCTGACACTGACCATGTCCAAATTAGATTCACTGGGTTGGGGCTTATTTTTCGTCTTCTGGGTTGTTTGTTTTTTGGTTTGTTTTTTTTTTTTTTTAATTTGATGTATAAATAAATCTTTTGTTTGAAAAGAAATCCCCAGTTTTCTGAGCTGTATTACCATGCACATCTAAAAATAGCAGGACTAATTCTCCTCCTGCCTTACCCGCTGGGTTTTGTTCTGTAGCATCCAGCGGTTATCCTGCTACAAAAGGGAGGGTGGAGAGTCAGACCCATGCAGATGAGTCAAGGTCAGATCTCTGGTCCAGGCAGCCTCCAGTGCTTCCCTTTAGCATGTGGTGCTTGGTCCAGACAACACGAAGCTCAGCCTGAGCCATCCACAGTTTGTAGCTTGCTCTTACTGCGTTAGTGGTGTAGGGGAGTAGGAAATCCAGCTGCTACACGGTAATCTTTCTGCTGTTCCTGCCAGCCCTCCCGGCTTCCTGGCTTCTGGCAGAGCAGCCAAATGCCACAGGAAGGCTGCTTTATGTCCACTCAAAGCAGGGCAGACAGAGATTCCCTTGGGATCTCTCGGCCTGAACCTTAAAAACACAGCTAAAGCTTCCTGCCACCTTCCTGCCGTCCACTGCCACCAGGAGCACCCTGCTACCAAGCAACCCCCCAATAAAGGAAATTAAATCTCTAACATCCCTCCTATCTCTGATTACTAGTAGGGGCTGATTATTGGGGGTGTTTGTAAACCTGCAGAGGGAATGACTTCCCTCCAGTGCCTTGGGATAACAGCACAGACAGGGCTTTAATTCCCCAAAGTGTGAACCCTGTAATCTGGATCAGGACAGAGCAGCATTGCTGAGCACTGTACCTTAGCCGCAGCTTACTTTAATGTAACACGGGGTATGGTGCAGAGCCTGCACAGTTTGTGATTCAGAGATAATTCTCAACAAAGTCCATCTCTCAAGTGAATAATCCTTTAGATCTGAATTTCACACCTGGGCTCTAAAAAGGGTTGTGACAACATCTCCAACACCAAACTCTGGGTGTTCCATGACCAAGCACAGAGTGGAAATCGTAGCACAGACCCTCCTCTGGAAATTTCCCCCAGCACAGATACATACTGCAAAGAGATGGGTTTGGAAGAAAACAACCTTTTATAAAATCGGCAGGGTCCAGCAGTGATTCTTTCATGTTCTGCATTAGCCACAGGCAGGGGCCACTGATCTGACCTGGCAAATGCACATTGCACTGACTCCGCAGCACTGCGGGGCCCTAGCCCCCAGTGAATTTGTCCCCTAAAGACCAAAGGCACAAAGCCTTTGCAAATGGAGCAGACAGGCCTGGGAGAGAACGGGACAGTGTGACTGTTCCCCAGTTAAGGTATGGCTTGCAGGAAATACGAACAAGGAGTCCCGAGAAATATGCTTTGGTAGTTATTAGCCTTGCCCTTAGAGATGTCGTTTTTTGAGATGTAGCCTCCTTGGCTTGTTCATTGCCCATTCACAGTGTCCACATAGTTAACTGAACGGGGGCTCAAAAAACCAGTGGGGCTCAGAGAAAGAAAAGGAGATAGAAAAGCAATATGGTTATTTCCAAGCTAGAGCCTATCTATATACAGTTCCATTTCTGCTGTATCACACTTCTTGCTCACCAATAATGCACCAGCACAAGGCTAGGAAAGAGCTCAGCCACTTAGCTCATCAGCGGGGTCAAATGATTATTTTTCATCCAGAACCTCGGCAAGCCTGCAGATCCTTAGACAGTATTGCCTGGCACAGCAGTGAGGTAGCCTTCAAGTTCAAGGTTCAATAGTGCATTCCTCTCATCTTTCGGCCCTTCAGCATCACTCCATTGGTGCAATTATTCCCACAGCCATAGAGAAATGCCACCTCTGTGCAATGATTTGCTTCTTGCTGTCCCTTGCAAGGTCAGCTAATTGGCCAAGAGACTCTTGGGGTGGTAATTAGCCAAGTGATTAGCCATTAATCCATAGCAAGGTAGGAGAAAAAAGAAGTGTGGGGGAAAAAAATCAGATTGATGTTTCATCTGAGAGCTGTTTTGATCCAGTAATAGCATCACTCCCTTCTCTGGGTTAAATTGCTCTGAGGGGGGCCTTGAAGGTAATTAGATCAGGTTTTCCACCAGCGTCAGGAAGAAAGTGGTGCCCAAATGCAAGGTGAGCTCAGCAGAGATGCCAAATTGAAGACCATGTGCATCCTCCTTCCTGGGAGGTTCTGCAGGGGAGTGAAGGTGCTAGAGACCATGCAGTACTCACCCTGGGAGGGCAGTCTGCCTGGTGGCCCCAAGGGCCTCCCGGTGCCTGGGCTGTGAGGGGAGGCAGAGGGGCAATCTGTTCTTTCCTTGAGGGACGGTGTCACTTGTCCCTTTGTGCCTCAATTTCCCGCTGTGGGTCAGATTCTGGCAGGCTGGAGTCAAGCTGCTGTTTTTAAGTGGTGACACACTTTTCACAGCTGCGCACATGAGCTCCCAGGCTGGGCAGGCTGGGCCACCTCTCTGAGGGACCCTCAGGCTGCCTCAGGTGGAAAATCCCCTACTTCCCTGCCCCCCTTTCATCAGAGGTGCTAAGGAGGTGTAAAACATCCCTGTGGGACCCAGCAAAGAGCAAGTGAAAGCTTCCCGTTGGGAGATGGAAGCCGTTTGCTGTGGCATCCAGCAAGCCAGCAGCAGAGGATGGGGTGGGCACCCCCAGCTGGTCAGGGTGAAGCACATCCCCATCCTCTCGCAGTTCCCAGCACCTGCTGTGAGCACCGTGTTGGCCACCTCTCTGCCTAGGTGCCAGGGAGCTGCTGCTCTCCAGGAAATGCCCCACTCTACGCTGGACCTGAACTGGCATGTCCAGGAGTTGTACCCAAGTTGGCTTTCTGCCTGGGAAGCGCCGTCGCGCTGCTTGGGTGTTGGCAAAGTGCCTCAGAGGCACTGCCGGTTGCCTTACCTCCATTTGAAGGGATCATTGTCCAGATCCCTCTGCTGGGTTCTTGCCAGTCAATAGGCATATCGGCATGGTGCATTTCCCTTCCCAAACCCTCATCCTGGATGGCAACTTGAGGCAAAACCTCAAGATTAAGGTGGGCAGATGGGAAAGCTGAACAGGTAGATGAGAGGGAGGTCAATCTGAGCCCTGCGGTACATCGCTCTGGGTCTCTCCACCACCTCAGCAAAGAAAATGCAGGTGAATTTGGGCCGAGCCCCCAGCTCCTTCCCTGTGTGTATTCAGGAAGCCGTACTGAAGCAGACCCATCTGTGTCACAACCCAAAACGAGCCTGTAGTTTATGTACAAAGACACCCCAGCTGTTTTCCTGCTGGGGCTTATCTCTAGGATTATTCATTGCAATTCACCCTAGTGATGTTATTTTCCCTTATTTAATTACCAGATTTTTTTTTCCCTGTTGTTAAATCATTTTCATTCAGCCAGGGGAAAAAATAATAAAAAAAAAACCAAACTGAAGATTTCTTAGTGAAAAGAATAAAACACACTGAAATGGTAGCACCAAATTGATTGCAAAGACATAAGGGACAAAGGGAGCCATTTTCCTGATGTTGAGTCGAAAAAGAAACACAACAACTGTTCAGCAGAAA